ATATATATATATATATATATACATATGTATGTATGAAACTATCAAAGAATAAAACCGAAAAGTTTTGAAAATATAGAAAGAATGAAGAAAAATATGCCTCTGTTCCGAGACAAGAGGCACACTGTATGAGAAAAGAATCTATTTCCAATCAAAGGGAAAAGAGAAGAAAATTTATATCCATGAACCTTAGAAACAGAGTTGTTTTGAAGGACTGTTTTATGAGTAAGTTACCAACTGATGTGACACTTTGCCTCAGAACGTGTTTCTGCCTCCTTCTAGTTTACCCAGCTTGTTGTCATTAAATTGATCATAGTATTAACTCCGCTTCTGTTTGAGTATTCTTTCTTTGTCTTTTGTTTTTTTATGTGAACCATGAATTAAAGGTCAGTTATTTTTACTCTTTATTAGTTTTGATGATCTTTTATTCTTGGTGTTTATTGGCAGTTAGTTAACAAATCGCCCATACTGCGTATCCAATAATAGCATAGCTTGATGTGTATGGCATTTCTACTTTCAGTTATGAAGTTTATACAGTAGCTGTACTGGTTTACATTTTTACCAAAAAAATGTGCAAGAATTCCTTCTTCTTTACATCTTCAATGGCATTTGTAATTTTGTATTATTATTATCATCATTATTATTTTTATTAGACCACCACTCATAGCCATTCTAAAGGGGGTGAGATGTTATCATTATAGATTTGCTTTCTGATTTTCTGATGTCTAATGATATTGAGTGTGTTTTTTAATAAATTAATATCAATTGCATTTCTTCTCTAGAAAAGTGTCTATTTAGATCTTCTACACAGTTTTAATAGGATTACTTGTTTGCTGTTGTTTAGATGTTGTGGCTGTTAGCCCCGTTTCTTAGAGCTGGCACACACTTATCTCATTGATAGGCTGTCTCTTCACTCTATTGATAAATTGCAGAAGTTTCAACATTTAAACTTTTTGGTATCTTCTAATAGTCTTGGTAAATATTTAATTTTTTCCTTGTTCTTGGTAGACTTATACAGAAAATTATTGCATATACCAATATCACTATGCTTTTAACTATGCTTTTCTCTAGTAGCTGTAGAGTGTAAGGTTTTTGATCAATTTTAAATTGATTTTTGTACAAGGTGATAGATAGGTGTCAAGATTTAATCTTTTACCTAAAGATAACACAGATTCCCCAGAACTATTAGTAACTATTTGTAACACACTTTTTCAGTGTGTATATATATATATATTTGTATGTTTGCCTAAAATCAGGGGGTGGCTGAATATTTATTGTGTCTTGTGTTTTCTGTTTTTTTTTTTTTTTTTTTTTTTTTTTTTTTTTTTTTTTTTTTTTTTTGGTTTTTCAAGACAGGGTTTCTCTGTGTAGTTCTGGCTGTCCTGGAACTCACTTGGTAGACCAGGCTGGCCTCGAACTCAGAAATCCGCCTGCCTCTGCCTCCCAAGTGCTGGGATTAAAGGCGTGCGCCACCACCGCCCGGCGTGTTTTCTGTTTTATTTCATTAGTCAATGTGTCTGTTCTTGGGTTAATACAATGCTTTATTGTCACTGTGACTTTGTAGCATGGTTTAAAATTAGATATTATGATACATCTAACTTTGTTCTTTTTACTCAAGATTTCTTTGCCTACTCAGGACTTTTTGGAATTTCTTACAAATTATAAAATTGTTTTCCTAGTTATATAAGGAATATCATTGGTATTTATATCATGGGCATTGTATTGAGTATATAAGTCAACTTGAGTTCTATGGGTATTTTAAAAATATTAATTCTCTGAGCTTATGAACATGGCGGCCTCTCTACATTCTAGTGTCTTATGTTTATTCTTCATTATGTAATTTTTATTGTAAAACTCTTTCACCACCTAAAGTTTATTTCTATGTCATTTCACATGTGTGTATATGTTTTTTTAAAATTGGATTGCTTTTATGATTTATTTCTATGCAAACTTATTATTGTTGTATATGTGCTTACTAACTTCACTTTTCAGTTTTGATGGAACCCTTGGGTTTTTCTATGTATACAATCATATCACATACTAACACTGGCATACTGATCTCTTTTCCTAGTAATTCTATGTCTTTTATCTCTCTCTCAAGTGGCCTTGTCTAAAGCTTCTAGAATATACTAGATAAAAGCAGTGGATCTAGATATCAATGCTATGTTACCCTTCTATTCTTATCTCCAACATAATATTGCCCATGGAGTTGCCATGTATAAACTTTATTATGTTCTGACATGTGATCTCTATATGCCTAATTTGTTCATGATTTTACAACTAATAAATATTTAGTTTTATTAAATTATCTTCTGCATATATTGAGGTTATCATGTAATTTTAATATTCAATCATTTATATGGTATATTAATTTGTGTATGATTACAATTTTTTGCATCCTAGGACTGAAACCATCTTTATCTTTTCAATATGCTATACCTTGCAAATCTTTGACTCTGTGACTAGTGATAGCAGTGATTCGTAGGTTAGTTTTGTGTGTGTCATTGTTAGGTGTCGACAACAGAGTAATTCTGACTTCTTATACCGACCTCTATGCTTTTACTTCTTTGGGATAGTTAGAGAGACATATGTTTATATATGTTGACTTCTCTTTAGAAATCAGGTCAAACTTAACAATGAACCCATCCAGTCATGGGATTCTCTTTGTTGGTAAAGTTTTTGTGGTTGATTTGATCTTATTAGCTATGGTCTAGTTATATTTTTATAGTCTTTTGATTCAATTTGAAAGATTGTGTCCAAAAGTTCACCCATTTCTTTTAGGTTTTTCCAATTTATTAGCATTTAGTCTTCCAAAGTAAGATTCCCAATGATCTGAATTTCTATAGTATTACTTGCAGTATCTGTTTCCTTAATCTCTAATTTTTAAACATTTTATTGATTCTCTGTGAATTTCACATCATGCACCCTAACACCATTCACCTCCCTATCCATCCTTGCAACCTCCACCTTCAATAGAAAATAAAAAATTAAAGATAAGTAAATAAAATGAAAGTAAAGATCTCATCACGGAAGCTTCAGTGTGTCACAGACTATCACATAATATATATTTTTTGTTCACATATCTTGCAAATGCTCATTGCAATGGGTTCTTAGTGTGCTTCAAGGCCTCTGGTTTCTGTTACACTATCAATACCAGAACTCACCCGAGTCTTGTCAGATATTCTGTGTTGTCCTGTGCTGTGGACACACATCCTGCACCTTTGGATCTTTGCACACTCCAGTTCATAGATGGGGTACATCTTGAAGTGGACCAACTCAGAGCCATGGATCTGGGCCTGAGTGGTAGCTGAGTTGGTCAGCCCTCAGCTCTGTCATGTACCATACCAGCTATAAACACTGCCCTGGCTAGCTCATCCCAGTGCTGCAGG